TTTTCCTCTCTGAGATAAAAGCCCAACTGAGGTAGCTGCTGGAACTGAAAGGCAGTCTTTTTTTTTTCAGCCCATGGGGAGGTTGGGGGTGGAACAGCACAGGTGACATGGTCAGTTAGATATTAAGGCCATCTGTTTTGCTTGATAGCCGCTCGTTTAATAGCACCGAACTTTAATTTTCTACTGCTGGTTTTCAGGCAGCGCAACAAACTTCCTCTAGGTGGTGGTAGGTACTTAAAAATTACGTGTGCCGTATCTGCGGGACACCTTCCATTGCCCATCTGTCTGTACAGATCTGTAAACACTCGCTTGTTAATGAAGTTTTACTGGATGCAGGAATTGCGCTGGGAGAGATTTTGGCTTCTATGACTGATTCCTGAACGAGCAGCAATAAAAATCAAGGAGCTGATTTCATAGTCCACTTTTTCACAGTCAGAAGAGCATTGGATTTCGTTAAGTTTATTCAGCAAATAGGAAATAGCAGAGTATCCCTGTGCCTGGTTTGCATTGGTACATTATGTTTTTGTAAGATGTGCTCATATGAGGGGAAAATGAAATGAAAATATTTTGGAACTTGAAGGGTGGTAGTGCTTTAAAATTATGGTTAGTAGAGCTTATGTAAATCTCACATACAGCTTGGAAAAACCTCCTATAAATGTTTTATAAATTTATATTGGCACTTTGTCTTTTTATAGACCTTTTAAACATAAAGTACCCAAGCAGTATGTAAAAGTGTAAGTGACTTACCTCCTACAGGAACCCCAGCCAAGAAGAGAAAGTCTACATCAAGGTAGTTTTTCCTACCACTAGTGTCTGATAGTCTCTGTGGTGTTACAGAGTAGCTACGTAACATCCGTTTAGTGTAGTAAATGAACAAGTGCTGTATAGTAAGTTAACGACCCCCCCGCAGAATTTAATTAACACTGATGAGTGGATAAATTTTAAGGAACAATCAGTTTTGATTGCGTTCCAAAACACTTCTGTGGGATCTTTAATAATCCAACGTGTGGATTACTTACACTTAATTTTTGCAGCTCTGTGTTTTATGCACATGAACAGACTGGGCCAGGCAGAAATCCATTTCAGGAGACGCGTTCTCATTTACGGAACTGCAGTACTGCGCTGGAGCTCTGGTCTCCAGGCTCTTGCCCTTGGCGTGATTTGAAAAGGAGGCTCTGCGTAGGTACCATAGGGGCAGAAGGGCACTGGTCTGAGCAGGGCTGTTAGTTTGGAAACTGACGGCATTTCCTCGGGAGCTGAGTATGTGCCTGCAGATACAGCCAGTTCCACGGAAAGGGGGCTGCTGGGTTCCTCCCTGAAGCCCTACTCCACGCCACTGGTCTCTTCTGCTTTTACCCATCCAAGGTGCTAGCCTGGTCCCTACACTGGGTGCTCTGCCCTCAGCCGAGGGCGTCTCTCTGCAGCGCTTCGCCTTCTGCAGTGCCCCTGCTGTGCAGGGCTGCCTGCCCGTCACCTGTTGGACACGGACATGAGACTGGCGCTTTCCTGAATTCTGTGCTGCCACTGGTAACCTCGGAGCCCACGGACTAACTACAGCAAAACAAGGGCTGAAAATGACAGAGTAAAGGAGGCTGGAGCAAGGCACTGGTGCAGGCTGGAGGGAAGGGGAAGAACAGCTGGTGAGCTGTGCTTGGACCCAGTTCAGGTCCAGCTTTGAAATCAGCCTCCCGGTGTCTGACAGGTGTGAGTTCACTGGCTCCTGAGAAATGCAGGAAGGAAAGAGAAACCTTCCTCCTGCCTCTTGTCCGTGGGGTACGGGATGTATTTGTAAGAAAGTAATTTTGAGGAGCTTCTGCTGCTCTCTTCCCCAGTCTCTCCGCCTCTCACCCCCTCACCCCTCCTTTTTGACTAAGTGCTGCTCCTGGTTTTTGCTGTGAAGCTGGCTGCTTGCCTGCCCCTGAGGTTTTTAAAGAGCAACAGTGGAAAAGTGGTGTCCTTGGGTAGCTGAAACGAGTTACAGCCTCTTCTTCAAGTAAAGGGAGCTCTGGCTGCACGGAGTAGCCATAACTCTTGTTGGCATTTGTCACAAAAGACAGACTGCACATATATTTTTAATGAAAGCGGGGGTTATCCAGTTGCTAATGACACTTACCTAAAAAGCTTCCTGTTTGCCACAGCTGATTAACCAAGTCTTGCCTTGGTGTCTAGCTATAGCATCCCCTCTATGCATTTGTAAAATTCACATACGTGACATGCAGCAGATGAACAAATCCAGGGATCACTGACATGGCTGCTGTTAAAAACGTGGGAGGTGTTTATATCTGCTATTTTGGAATATTTTTATTTACAGTGTGCCAGGGGTGTCTCTTAATGCCACGGTTAATCACCAACAGAGAAGGATTGTTATCCCACCCTTCTCCTTCAGCACCGAAATCTGCAGCCATCCACGGGTGGTGTGTAGCTTTGTCAAAGCCAGGAGTGGTGAAACTGCTCAGGCACAAGGTGCAAAGGACCTGTGTACCCCCTTTCGTGGCAGGTAGGAGGTCCACCGACAATAGATGGGGATGTTTTAGTCAGTTAGAAAGGACGTTTCATGGGGAAACACACAAAGTCTTGATTCAACACCCCTCCCGCCCACCAGAGCCCATTTTAAACCAATTTCCTTCTTTCAACATACCCTTTTTTCCCTCTGCTGTGTTCAGCGTCACAAATAACTGGCGTTTCTTGCAAAATTGTTGACTGGATTTTCCATGTGCTACTGCTTCTTCACTTTTCATTGCAGGGGTGCTTTCCTAGCTTGCTGCTTGACTCAGAAATTTATGCTGGAAACAGTTAAATGCAGGTGTGCTGGAGCTGGAATGAGTTGGCCGAGATGAAATGATGAGAATAGAGCGTATAAAATAACCACAGAGCTTCCTGTCCTTAAGCCTCTCGGCACATGTCAGAATAGAAGTGAGAGGTATCGGTATTCCTGTAATGTCTCTGAAAGTTCATCAGGAATTTTTTGAAGACTGGCAGAGGTTTTCCTGCAATTTTAAAGCTTTCCTCACCATCTGAGGCTTGGGGAAGAAAGAATCCCTTTTTCTTTTGTTCCCCTGACAGCTCAGCAACAGCAGGTTGGCAGTGGGAGCCCCTTACCTGCGTGCTTAGGCTGGGTGAGCAGCGGCTGCGCTTCGTAATTTGCCGTTTCCTATTATTCTTGAAGGGATGGAGACTTGGCACAGGAAACCTGATACACCTCGTGGTTGCAGGGAAGGATGGGACTTCATGTCCCACTGCTGCGTTTCCCATCTATAACCATTACGACACTATGGAAGGGCCAGGCCCAGTGCTGTCACAAGAGGGAGAGCTCCATAATTACCGGTGATCCCAGCCAGCACTTGCACAGCGCTTTAGGAATTGGGTTGCGTTGCCAAAAGACTTAGTAAGAGGGAGGAGGGCAGCATTGGAGGGGTAAGGGAAGAGGCTTGGGGTCTGGCAGTGGTTGCCTGGAGGGAACAAGGCTTTGGGGAGTTATAATTATGTCGATCATCGGGGGTTGAAGGTTGTCTGGAGAATCTACTGGACCCGTTTCGTGGAAAATACGGGCTAACAATTGCTGCCTGAGGCTCCATTATTTCAGCGGCTCGTCTCTGCTGCTCCCATTACAGGAGGTTTCGGAGGAAAGCTGCAGTGGGAACCTGGGAATAAGCTACCCGAAGGCAAAATTTCTGTCGTGCGGTGGTCTCACGGTTGGGTCGTGCATGGCACCGGATGGGTTCAGATGGGTTCTCCAGCTCAGCAATGCCGCTCTTACCTGCGGGTGGTGCAGGGCGATGCGAACGTGTAGGGCACGCGCTTGGTAGCTGTACGTAGAGCTGAGGGCTTGCAAATACATGTTAAACTTTGATGAAACTCCACGGCTTGCTGCGGGGAAAGGGCAGGCAGCGCGTGGCCCGAAGTGCTCTGCTCGGTCCTTGCTGTGAGGCACAGAGCGCCTTGGGGCTGTCAGAAACAGCTGCTCTGCAGGTCCCGCTGGCAAGTGTCAGGCAAGGCAGAGCTGGGAAAGCAAATAGGTCTGCAGGGGCTCCTCGGGAGGGAGGCTGAGGATTTGAGGGTTTGGTGGTTTGGTTTTTTTTTTACTTTCTTTTAAAATGTGATTCAAAAGAAGGATTTCCTAGAAATTGGAAAAGGGATCATTAGTGCAGGTATTAAGGCCAAGTACGGAACTCTCACAGTAGTCTTTTTTTTTCCGGCAAATTTTCACTAGACTTATGGTAAGCAACTTTTGATTTACATTATTTTTCTTCTTTAGCAAAAGAAATGTGAAATTACATGAAAGCATCACCTCTTAATATAGTAATACAAAACAAATACAGCTTTCTGATACTTTTTATAAAGTATCATAGAGATTTAGAAATCTTCCAGGAATTGGGTGTTTATAGTAGCTTGAAACACATGAGGTTAAACTGGTACAGCCATTCAGCTTCTCAAGTTTGCAATGCTGTTATGAATCCATATGGTATTTAACTGGTAAATTAAGATTTCCTCAATTCTGTGCATTTGACATCTGTTGTATTTCAGATGTGATTCCTCATTTTTCTGTTAATGTTCCTAAAACTGTGTGCTTCAAAATGTGGACTATTCTCTCCCAAAGAAGGAATCAAAGTTAACAAAACAAAAAATAAAAAAAAGTCAGGAATGAGTGAATGAATGGAAAATGTGTACAATATTCTGCAGCTTGGTAGGAGTACAGCATGAGTGCAAAGTGGAATCAGTGGTTTATGCAGTAGGTTCGCTGGACACGTGTGTGTGCGGATGGGGTATGGCTACAGCAACCTGAATAAACACCACTGATATTACATTTTCTATGTTGGAAAGAGAAATAAGTGTCAAGACATCTTGTTTAAGTAGCTATTAATTTCTGTAAAATGTACTTTCACCTTTTTAAGTCCTTCTTCCCTGTTAACTTTGATTCTTCATCTTGCACTGTCATCTATTTAGGTATATCTGTTAATTATCTCTAAGTGCTAGAGACATACATGGTACTGGTGGACTTTAATCCTTCACTCCAAAAAAAAAAATTCAAACTTTTTAAACTTCATCTTTATTTTAGCTCCCATGTGATGCTTAGTGCTATTATCTTATTTTAAACCAGGAACGACAGCGGCTGGAGACAATCCTCAATCTGTGTGCAGAATACTCCAAATCTGACAGCGACCCTGCTGCGGCTACAACCGTGGCTGATGTTCAAAAAATTAACAAAGAACTCGAAAAACTTCAGCTCTCTGACGAGGATTCAGTGTTCGAGGACTCACAGATGAATCTGGAAACGAGGTTCAGGAGCCACTTGAAGTCGTCCGCAAGCGATTCGGACTTCTCGGAGCTGAGCAGCCACAGCCAGAGCCGCAGCACGGCTGCTCTCCCCCCAGCCAGAGGGTTGAGAGCAGATGAGCACTTCCACGACAGCGCGAAGCCCCCACCTTTCGCTGATGCCAGCTTCCTGAAGGATGCCACGGAATCCTCCTACCTAAGCATCACACCAAAGGTAAAGCTGAGCGAGCACAATCCAGGTCCCACGGCTCCCTTCTAGGAGTCCATTGTCCCGGCAAGGGTTAGTTAGGATGGCTTGGGTGTGAGAATTCATCTCGGAGCTCACACAGTTTAGCAGCCAGCAAATGATAATTTCCTTTTTTGTGGAAGCTGTTGGTACTGGAAGGCTGTTTTGGTTTTTTGGTTTTGGGTTTTTTTTTCCCATAGGGAAGTACAGTTCAGGAAGTGTTTTAATATTTGCTGAGGGAAAAGGATTTGCTTAAACAGTTATAGCTACTTAAATAAGGAAAGGTTCAGGAACTCTGCTTAGCACCGTGCTGGGGTGTAGGAGGGAAGGGAAGCTCTGCTGTCTTCCCCCAGACTGAGGTTCCTGTCTTCTGCAAGAGGAGGATGTTTTCTCCTGGGCAAACCAGAACAGTTGCATGGGAAGTGGAGTTGCCTGAGCCAAATCTACTGTCCTGTCTCCTCTCCCGGGGTTGGACCTGAGCCCCTTGTTGAAGTGGCTGCTGCTTCTCATGGGGCATCCTGTTGCTCTCACCCAGCTCCTGCCCCGAGCGAGCTGCACTGCCTTTCCTCCGTCCTTCACACTGCTGCTAGGTTAGGGAAGGGAAATTGTCCTTTAAAAGCTGAGCTAGCAGCATCCCTAACAATTTCCTTGAGTTAGGACAGCAGCAGCCAGTGCCAGGTCAGCAGCGCAGCCCCTCCCGGAGCCAGGCAGGGCATTAAGCAGCTCTGTTCAGGGGGCAGGATCGGGAGCGTAGTGAGACCAAGCAAAGCCCTAAAAGCAGGTTTGTTTAACAAATTCACACCTTCAGAAGATATTGTCTCCCCCCTTTCTACTGTTATTTACACGCCGTATGGGCTTCAGCACGGTTTTATGCCTAACACCAATTGTATTAATTAACCTCTGCTTAACTAGCTTGCAGCTTTATAGTCAGTAGGAGTGTGTATGTGTAGAAGAAGAGGGAGGTGTGATAGAAAAACATTTTATCTTACAAAGGGTTATCTCTCTGGAAATCTGCCTGCCAAGTCTTTTGGTGTGAAATTATGTTGAACAGAAACTTCTGTTGTGGCTTTACTTGGCCAAAGTTAGTAAGACGTTGCACTTACAAGTTACTGTGGTCTTGCATTTCTTTTCCATTTGTTGTTTTCTCCATGCAAGTCAGAGATCCTATTTTAAATCCTTACTAGGAAGTTGAAATTGAAGATGTTGTGTCAGCATTATCCAAACAGGATACCGGACAAAAAGAGGCTTTCCTGCTAGGATTACTAACGCTAATCAAGGGATACCGTTCATTCATTCATGATAAAGGGTGTTCTGCTAAGCCCCGAGAAAAGCAGTAACAAGCGACTCTGTTAATGAAAATGCAGCTCACCGTTTTAAACTATCGAGATTGGATTTGTTCAGGATCAAGTGCCTGCTCTCAGAACAGCCGTTCAGTAGCTGAGCCTCTCTTCAGCAAGGCTGTGTGGTCCAGTGGCTCAAGCCAAGCCATGCACGCCGCCCGCTTCTGGTTGTGACTGGGGACAGTCAGTGAGCAGCCTTACCAGAGTAATTGGATCGCAAGCCCCTGGGGTCAGATTGAACATGAAGAATACATTTGAAACCCAGTACTCTTTGATCTAGCCTCTGCTGGTATAAGATCACAAGTATTTTCTTAATAATGTTTAATTCTTGGCACAGTCCTCTGTGGCAATGGCAATGCACAGAGTGACGTTAAGGGTACTACTCCCACAGTGCTACCTGGGGAGACAGAAACCGGCGTCTGTCCTTATTTTACAGAAGCTGCCCATCTTAATGGCGTGTTATGAAAATGTCCTATCCTACCTCCTGGCTTTTGTTATATGAACAGCCAAAATTTACGTAAAAAGCATCTTCACCTCCCTGTGTTATTTTTATAGCAGAAAAATTGGATTTTTACAACCTAAATAGCACAGCACATAGCGTGTTCTCAAAGGTTAGGTTTTAATAATTCCTGTAGAATTAAGAGTGTTTACTGTTGAGTATAGTATTTACTTCCAGTGCCTGGAAGTGAAGTATCATGTTTGTTTCTCTTGTACAATTTCTAAATATAGAAATAGCAACATCGTAGGTATGAAATATGTAATGGCTTCAAAACCAGCAGTACTGTACTTGTCTAAAATGAACACAGTATGAAAGGGGAAGGAAAGACAGTCTTTAACTCTTTTTTCACTAATGAACCTCCTGTAACGTGCAACTGCAGATACCAGAATGCTCAGGTGATGAGCAGAGAGGGCAGGAGCTCGGCCGACTGGAAGAGGAGCGCATAGTAATACTAAATAACTTGGAAGAACTTGAGCAGAAGATCAAAGATTTAAATGACCAGATGGATGAATCCTCGAGAGAGGTATGAAATGTGCTTTGGTTTTAAAGGTCTTGCTTGTTAGGTATGTCTGCGTCGCGTAAGTCTGATGGGTTCAGGTGTATGTAGCCTTCATATTCTGTGCTTTGCCACCAGGATTAGGCACAGAATCACAGACCTGGCAGTCTCCTGCTACGAAGGTTATTTTTCCCCAGCTGGGAGATGGATGTGATGCTCTGATTAGCCTTTCCCAGCTGTAACCGTTATACTCCTACGTGGAATTAGAACAATCTTGCTTGTGTAATGGTCACTCCATGGATCTAAATATCTTGTGTCACTTGGAAGTTTTATGATGGTATCTCCTGTGACCGTTTAAAGAGAAAGGAAGTGAGACAACTTCCTTTCAAACTTCCTTGGCTTTACAGTGGCAAGGGTATGTTGGCACCCTCTTGGCTTCTGGAATCTCACAGTTGCAGATTAAGCTGGCCAGGCATTTGGGTTGTGCTTGATCCAATTATCAGCAACAGGAAAGAAACAGCTGTTCCAGAAGGGTTTCCTACGGAGCCTGGGCACAAAGTCAGTACAGTATCATAGCAGGAGGAAGCACAGAGAAGAGATAGGAAAGAAAAAGTTTTGGAAAAAAGGATCTTCAAACTAAAGTTGGTTTGGACTTTATTTTGCAGTATTTTGTATTGCAGTTTTACTTTTTCTCAGATTTGTGATCTCTTTTTAACTTTTGTGGTATTAAAACCTACTTTTTTTTTTTCCCCTCTCTCTTTTTAAAATGTTTCTTTCTTGTGAATAATCATCAACTCATTCCCCTTCCCCAGAAAATAATGTGTATCAAGATTTCTTCTTAATCTGGACTGCTTCTGAAAAATGTTTTGTGTTCCTAGTTGGATATGGAATGTGCCCTTTTGGATGGGGAACAGAAATCTGAAACAACAGAGCTGCTGAAGGAGAAGGAAATATTGGATCATCTAAACAGAAAAATAGCTGAGCTGGAAAGAAATGTGATTGGTGAAAAGACAAAGGTAATTGAGTTATCTTAGCTAGCTGTGTGCTCTGTTCCCCTCGATCTTCAACATACATTTATATGATTAACGTTTTGATGGAGGTGATTTTATTAAGGTCTGTCTATAAGTAAATTTACTTGATAAATATGGAAAAAAAAAATAGTTGCCTCACCATCATCTCCCCGTAACAATCTTGTTTCCCAAGGTATGCTTGACAAGTGAAATTCTAGTATGCTTAAGGAAAAAGACCTGACCTACTGGAAGGGTATTTTTCATTACTAAAAAATCCATACAGGGCTTGGACTTGGGTTATCTGTTGTCTAAAAGAACAGTATGAACTGTTCCACTGCCTGCCATTGTAGATTATGCATTTTGAATTTAAAAAAAAATCCTTTCTCAGCAAAGGAACAGAAAGAAAGGCAGCTGCCGTTTCAGAAGATGGCTTTATGTATTATTATATAGAATGATATAAAAACCAGCTGTCAAGTACATAATTTTAAAGCAATTATGTTGGTTTATTTTGTTTGCTGACTGACTGACCATTTTAATACTGTAGAAGGTTCTCTCGGTGATTAAGTCTAAGGAATTAATTACTTCTCCTGTGCAGTCAGATACTTAATTGCTCTCAGATGCGCAGCAAATACATATAAGCATGTATTTGCAAAGTAGGGTAGCACTATAACAAGATTTTAAGTACAGAAATGGGAAAGGCCTGCAAGATGAAGCTGTCCCCATCACACCGGGGAGCGCTGGTTCCCCCATCAGGCTCTCTGCTGGCCTGTCCAGTGAGCAGTTCCCCTGCTCCGTGGGGGATGTGCCACGGCCAATAATATCTCAAGGTCAGGAAGTTTTTCCAGGGCCTTCCACCAGTAATGTTTCCTTTTTTAAATTTCATCCTGTACCTCATCGTTTAAAACTGTCACTTGTGGAAATACTCTAGGTAGTCTCCCGCCCTCTTTTTTTAAGCTTTCCAGAAATATCTGGAAGTCTTGTGCATTATTTGCTTTTGCGTAGACAAGCTGCACACTTTTGGCTCTTTCACAGTTCCTGTTTAATTAACCCCTTAGAGCTTGCATTGTTTTGTTTTGGGCTTTTCGTCTTCAGTTTCTGCCTGCGCTGTCATGACCTGGATGCTGTTTGACAGCAGTGCTCCTCCAGCCGCTGCCTGAGGAGGAGAATGGTGCTCCCACCTCCCTGCCCTCGGGAGCGACAGCGCACGCCCCGTTTAAGCTTGAACTTCCATGGACTTTCCTGCCTGTGCTTCTCCTTGCTCTTGTGTACCCCTCGGTGATCCTTCAGCTTTCGGTGTTGCCTGTGGTCACATTTTAGGTTGTCCGTGGAACGCGTTTCATACTTGCTTTTTAGTATAAAGCTGAGTTTCAAGTTGGTAAGAGCAGACGGGTGGTGGAAGCAGATGCCCTCCAACAAGGTGCTGCTAGCAGTTTTGGTTGGTAGGTGGTAACGAGTAACATACACAGACGTTCAAGAGATCTTTTGCCTTTTGTATTTGTTCTCTAGTAGCCTCAAAGTTCAATGAAACTACCTGTAGGTTGTTTACATTTCCTTGCAATCACATGATTGAACATGAGTGCGTAGCAGTCAGAAAATTAAAATGCCCGGTCTAGTTTAAATTTTCAGTTGAACTGAAACATGGAAAGCGGACTGAAAAAACATTTTTGTTGTTCAAAAGGCAAGTTCACTCAATTATTTTTTTTCTCAGTATGAAGCTTGCCACTAGGCAGGTCAGATACATTATTTTTGTTGTCTTTTCTTTTGTGTTCCTTTAGTTTTTAAACAAACAAACAAACGAAAAACCTACTTGTGAGTGCCTGCTTTAGACTTACACCCATGCGTGGCTCACAATACTGAAATTACCTTTGTAGAAATAAACTCTGACAGCCCACAGGTTTTGTTCTGGAAAATGTCTGAAAGCGTGGCATAAAAGTGAAAGTTTAGAAAAGGGAGGAATGGAAGACAAGCTTCTGCAAACGAGCAAAATACAAAGTGACAGCTGAAGAAAGTAGTGTCAGCCAGCAAAACAGATGGCACTCATCATGGCAACTAACAAAAGTTCTGGCTGACTTGAAGCAATGGCATTTTTTTTAAAGCTCGATTTGTGTGTCTGTATGTTTAAGGTTCTGCCCTGCAGATCTGATGCAAGATGGGCAATATCTTGGCTCTGGAGTAGTACAGGATCAACGTTCTCCCAAAAAGGGGTGCTCCGTTGGAGGTGGTAGGTAGTCCTTTCTGCTGAAATAATTGGAACCTTATGACCTCCTCAGCAGAATTAAGGCTCAGGTTTTGGCCAGTAGTTGCCACCCTGCTGATGATACTTTTTGTGTTGTTTCTTTACAAGAACGAGTGCCCCAGTGTCCACTCAGTGGTCATGGTTTCTTCTGATTGCCAAAGATCTCACCCCTAATAATACTGGTGGTCTGGCTTTTGATGGTGCTTCCTTGCAAGAAGCTGTTGGGTCCCATCACTCGGACAGCGGTTACGTTTCTATCAGGGCAAGGGAGTGATGTTTGAATACATCCCATGGTGTCGTCTTGAGGTGAGAGGGAGAGTTAATTGCGCTCACGAAAATGACGGTGGGGCGTTAGCACCGTACGTGATGGCACTTGTCAGCAGGGTGACTTGAGTGACTCCTGGAATTTGCCACTGCTCTCGGCACCTGTTTAACAGGAAACCCCTGCCTGTTTGTGGTTCATCCTTTCCCATGCACCTGTTTGAAAAACTTGTGAAATTCTTAAAAAGAGAGATCATAAACAGCAGCCTAATTATTGAGCCATGTCATGGACTAGAAATAGACTGTAGGTGGGAGCTCTTGTACTGCTTTCTGCCTGATTCTTTGATTGATTTACGGTTTTTTAATGCCCTGTGTACAATTCATTCAGATGACACAAAGTTTTGCCACTTGTGCACAGTTTTGAAGTCACAGTTTGTAGCCCTTGGGAGGCAAGAGAATCGACTGGGAGACCCTTGAAGGCAGGAGAGTTGTGGGTTCAGTTTCGGGCTGTGCCAGCGTGCCCGTCGCTGCGGTATGACGTCTCGGTGTCCCAGCAGCTGGCCTGTAAATCAGGAGCGGGTTTTGCAGGCGCGTTTGTCCGTTACATGGCACACTGCATTCCAGTCTCGCCCGAGCCCTGCGCTCAGCCCCACCTGAGCAGGACGGATGGCGCGGGAGATCATGTCGTGCACATGCTATGGTGAGTTGAAGGCCTTTCCCTTGCCATCGTGATCATGCCACCACACATGTCGTAAGGATTGAAGTGATTAGTACTGGTTTACTGAGGTTTTGGAAGTAAGAGCTGCACACGGTTGCTGTTCTGAAGAAAAGATGACAGAGCCTTTCAGCGCCGTTGCAGGGCTCAGGGTGGTTCTGGATGTAGGGCATCTCAGCTGGGTGCCATTGCTGACAGGCCTTGGTTGTCCTGGCTCTGGGGTAGCCGTTTGGCATGGCCTGTGCTTTCATCTGTCCTGGAAATCATGCTAGTGCACGGAGGAAGTTCCGCCTTTGCCTCCATGGCCATGCCTCTGGAGCACAGCTCACTGCTCTTCATTCTTTCTTTTTTTTTTTCCTACCTACCATACGCTGCATATTTGGTTTTATCCACAGAAAAAGATGACCAACTACATATTTGAATAGCAGCATTTAAGCTATTCAGTGCAAGATCCCATTACTCAGGGACAGCCCTGATAAGTCACCAGTAACACAGTGTGACAGATACAGCTTGAAGCTCTCCAGGAAAGAGCTCTGCCACAGGTCTTGACAGAATTACTTGGAGCTCAGCCTGCTTGGGAGAGAGCTGAGCTGGGCAGTACCCAGAAACAAGCAGGTGAACCAGTCTCCATTTTCCCTGCCATCCGGGCCTGGCTCCCTGCAACCACTGTGGCAGTCATTCAAGTTCCTGTACGGTAGGCGTACAATAATGATGCTGTTGTTTCACGTGGCGTAGCACCCCAGGTCCACAGTGCTATTTACAGTTGCAGCTTCCTCCCAATGACCCTTTGCTTGTGAGACATAGTTCAGGACTGATGTTTGTCTATAAGGAAGCTGGAGAAAATTGTATTTGCCCAATTGGATGTTATCCAGATTTGCAGAGTACTCCCTTTTTGTGCAGTGCTTCCTTAGTCTGTGTAGTTTTACAGCATGGAGTCCAGCATATGTGGAGAAGGATGCTTAATGCTTCACCACGCCTGATGTCGCCAAGTTAAAGCATGAGGTTGAAAGTAATACCACGGCCAGGCAAAGAAGGAATAGGTCGGCGAGCACGAATTAACAGGGATAACTGAAAATGGGTAATGAATTTAGTGGAAGTGCTGTGGGAGGTAATTGTAGCTAAATGGGAGCTTTGGCAGAGAGTTTCAAAACCATTATTTATGCAAAAGTTTAGACTGCATTTTCAGAGAGGGAGGTTATTGCTTTTCTTCTGGAGGACCTTTGCCCTGTGTCATGGTGGAAATACATACCATGGGACTCTCTTATCAAGCTGGGTTTCCTGTCCCTCTTCAAGAGCAATCAGGAGCAGCTGGCAGTGGGTAACTCATCTTTTTTTGGAATACATTTAATGTTGTCCACATGCTTTTGTGGAAATATTTTTCAGTCATTAACAGAATATCCCAGACGTGCCAAAATGTTTGAGGCTCAGCCTCTTGGCTGAATTAGTTCAGCAAAGACATGCAAGACTTGTGTCAAAGCAAGAGGAGCTGTCTGATGACCCACCAGCAATCAAAGTTAAATATACTGGTGGTCTCTCCTCAGTCCTTTCTCTTCTGGATTTAA